GGAGCTGTCCAATTTCCAATAACTGAAATACCTGAATGATAATTTTCTTAGAAAGCAGAGTACCTCTGTGACGGATTTAATAAGTGCTGACATGTGCAGAACTGCTCATTTTTACAGCTTTCTGTGACAAGCAAGTTCTGAGAGACGTATGTATACCTCATCAGAGCATTTAATTGGATCTTTAGTGCTATGTTCAGATTATAAGCTTAAATATGGAAAAAAAGGGGCTTTTTTGGGGAACTGTCTCAGCATTCATGAAGATTATTGACTTTATTGTTTCTGCATTTCAGACATTTAGAGTGGACTTTTTCAGCCCTTCAGTTTGCAGAAAAGGACTTTTTTTTAGTGTCTGCATTGTAGCATGAACACTAATGACTACTTTCCATCTGTTGCTGAACACAGTCCTGTAAATGAATTCCTCACATCAGTGCCCAACCAAAAAGAAAGGACAATCAAGTGGTTAGCTCTCAAGGTCTGCTTTAGAGATAGGAGGATTTTGGAAGACCTCTGAGTTACAGCTAATCTATTATAGTGGCCTTTTGCTGAAAGTATGCAGGGCCCCTCTTTCTCCTTGCATTATACTCTGTAGTTTTGCTCCTTTCAAATCTGACTCTGCCTGAAACAGGATCAGAATTCTAGAGGTTTGATAGTATGAGTTGCTGTCTGCCACCCTGGTTATCATTTGTATGATATGGAGCATGAGACTTTATGGAAGTTGACAGGGAGCCAGTGAGTACCTGGCTCAGTTTAATTAGGCTGATAAGCAAACCAATAGCAAGTAATTAAGCATTTAGTTAATGACGCTACTACATGCACTAAAGTGCTCTTACCATCATGATAGTCCTGCAGAGTGCCTCTAGACTCTGAGAATAAAGGTTTCTCCTTATATTGGCAGTTTAGACTTCTTTTCCAACTGAATGGGTGACAGTAAAAAGCTGTTTTAGACATATGCTACTTTAATTTTCTTGAATTGTAGCCCAGTCTTCTACCTGGTACATGAGCTGACAATGTGTATGGATTGGTAAGAAGCATCCAACATGAGTGTACCTTTGTTTTGACTTAATGTTATAGGGAGAGGTCTAGGAGTTCCTTTTTTACTAAGCTCAAAGACTTCTTTTCAAAATTACAGAATTTCTGTCACTTGTAGTAAACCTGTTTAGCACTTCTTATGTGCTGCTATGTAGCATGCATTGTTTTTTGCTGAGTTTGTGATTGGCCTAATGTATATATGATCAAAACCAAGTCTTCAATTTTAGCAACAATGTCTTGAATGCCATGGTTTCACTGGTTGCTGTGACATGGTGTTCTCGAGGCAAATAATTGAGATGTAATTGTGCATGCCTGCAGATAGTCTCACAGTACTGTATCTGTGCGAAGTGGGCTCCTTTGAATGATGTGCATTTATATATTCATTATTAAAAAAGTGCAGTTGTGGTGAGAAGTGAGAGGGTTTATCTTTAAAATATGAACAACAGGCTTATTAGTCTAGCAACATGTCAGATTTCTTTATATTATGAAAGTATATACTTAAAGTGTACACTAAATGTCGAAGGTATTCTTTCTTCCATTATCAAAATTTGGATGCATACTTTTTGCTGAAGAGGATGGATTTTTGTGGGGAATGGGAGGAATGCATCACCACCAGCCTTGAAGTTGATATTTCTTAATAGTAAGGTGTGGGGTAGATAATCAGACTGTTTTCTCAAAGCAACACACAAAACTATTATGAGGGCATTTTTACCTATGTGTTCAGTACGTTATTGAGTACTGATGCAGAGTGATGCTTCTTAGTGTAATATTACAGCTAAATTATCTACTCAGAATATGTTTTCAGGATTTTCTTTTACCTCTTTTGTTCAGACATTTGGAGCAGATTGTTGTGTCATTTCTAGTTCTAACAAAACTACTTAGTTTTCTTGTACTTATACCATAAGAAATTACAACTAAATGCAAGATTTTATTTATTCCATATTGCAAATAATTTATTATGAAGTTGAGTACCATCTCTGTTATTGCTGTTAGACTGTAGACTAATCTACTGTACACTATATCAATTAACATATTACTGGTAGAAGACTTCTTGCAAATGTACATTTTATCTGTTATGATCCCTAAAGGGCCAAGTTGTCTTACAGCTGCCAATATCTGTAAAATCACTTGAGATTTTTGCAAATTTGTGGTGTGCATACTCTATATAGATGCAATATGAAGATTTTCATTCCTGCACAGAAACTCTACAGTGATATTTAGCTGTAAAGACTGGGATTTTCAATTACATGAGGCAAATTGTGTAATGCAGATTGATAGAGATTATTTAAAATCTGTTTAAAAGCAGATGATTGAGATAAATGTACAGTCTCAAAGAACATTTTTTCAAGTATTTGAAGTCTTGTACATTTGGCTTTTTAAATATTGTAAATTGTTTGTTTGTTCTTGTAAAATTAAGATAGGACAGCTCTAAGTATAGATTGTTTTGCATAGATGCGTTTAGCCCAGCACCTGCTGGTAACCAAGGCCCTCCTCCAATGATGGGTATGAATATGAACAACAGAGGAACTTTACCTGGCCCTGCAATGGGTCCTGGTCCTTCCATGGGACCAGAAGGAGCTGCAAATATGGGAACACCAATGATGCCAGATAATGGAACAGTGGTAATGTATCACAAATTTAATTCTTTTAAATAGCTGTCATGTCTCATGGCCCATTTTTCTTACCAAAGGTATTTTCACGCTGAGTAAGTATGTGTTCCATGTTTTGGATCTGTTAAAAGTAATTGATAAAACAAACCTTTTCATGCAAATAATTTGCAACCCAAATGAGAAATTTTTTTTTATATTACTGTGAAAATCCTACATCCCTTAGGAATGAAAATCTCTAAATTTAGACTTTTGCTGTTATTTTCTTTAGTAAAACTAAATCTTCTGATTTAGCTTGTTGGGGTTTTTGATGAACAGTTAAATGTTGGAAGATGCAAAGTGTGAAGATATCTTTGTGTAAACAAATTAATTTTTAAAAGCAACTTTAGTGTTCTTTGTATTTCTTTTCTAACACTGTTAAACGCATGAGATTGACAGTAATTGTGCCACTTAGAAAATCAGTAGCCAACAGTTATTGGTAACTGTTATATCAATACAGGAAAGATAATACTGCCCAGTTGCCACGGTCATAGGGGAATGTCTTTTATGTCTGGGATTTTTAATCAAGAGCAAATAGGCCATTGGGATGCAGTTAAAGCATTAGCCATTCTTGCTTTGTTCTCATAGCCAGTCACATTTCCTAGCTGTAATGTCTTATGTAGAGAAACAACTATATAATTTGAAATCTGACTTTTATATATTTTTTCAGTACTCCTCTGTTACTAGGTTAGTGGTGGTGTTGATATAAAGGAATATATAGTCTTAACAGTTATTCTGTTACAGTTTTATTAGAACACAGAAGCATTTTGTAGCTGTGTTTTTTTAGATAGACCTTCTCACCAGTATCTGTGATTGAGCCATCTGTATAGTGAAGTTAAAACAAAATCCTTTGTTCCATAGAAGAAAAGGAGGTTTCAGTTTTGCACAAAATGCACTGTGGGTCTGGTCTTTACCAGGTAAAAAGGAGAGGTCTTATTTCACATCACAGGAGCCAGCTTATTTTATCAGTTGTGTCATTTTTCACAAAGTGGGGAGGATGCTATTTACAAAATACTGAATTGGGAAATTTTTGCTGGAGACCACTGTATTACTGGTCACCTTGAGAACCTTGTCTTGTGATTATATAGACACTGAAAAAAAGGTGTGTGGAAAAGAATGTGGTATCATAAATCACAGTATCTAACTTAAACTGTTGTTTTTCTACAAAAAGTCATTCCAGGTATGGAAATGTAGGAAATATACTGACACTTCAAAATGCATGTTTAAAAAAAAAAAAAATCTTTTTCCTTTCATTTTCTTATGCATGCTTCTGAAAGACAAATTAGATTTTAGTTTTTTCTTCGTTTTGGTCTTTGAAGGTTTTTAACTTGGGAGGTCAGGCCCCTACAGAAAGGCATAGCTTTATTGTATTATTGCTGTTGTTAGAAAGATACTTTAAAGATCCTTTGAAGGCTATCTACTAGAACACTGTAGCAGTTTTTTTTCCACTGAGGGAAATTAAGAATATGCTTTATAAATTACAAATTTAAAAATTTAATGTTTTTAATTGGATCTTCTTCTGAAGTCTTGAAGGGAAAGTTATATCAATCTCCCTTTTGTTTCACTGAAGTCTTTTGAAACCTGGATTGTCTTTGAACATAACATTTTAAAGGTAGCTTCCCCCACTTACTAATGTAGGTAGTTAATTACAGCAGTTTTCTTGATAGCTGGAAAGAGGGGTCCTTATTGGAAAGAGGACTTGACTTTTTGTCCAAAAGTCTAATGGTAAAAGGGGTCAGGAGTATGTGGTAACTTAGTTGCTGAAATTCATATCCATTGCTAACATGCTGGCATGCATTAAGATAAATTTAAAACAGTTTTTACCCAGTGCTACAGATTTAAAGGTGCTTTAGCTCAGTAATAGATCTTTATGCAGCTGTTGAAGTAACCTTTTTCATATACAGTGTTGCACTTGAAATAATGCACATATGTACAGCCATGATCTACATGATCTAGGTTGCATGTACTTCTATCTATATAGATAAAATGCTGGGGTTTTTGTTATCTATACATACATATGTACATATATATATATATATATATATATATATATACATGAATTAGCAGACTCCAGAGCTGCTGAGCTCTACTACTATTACTAGAGTTAAACTTTCAGAAGAATTCTTTCTGATTCAGGCATAAGTGCTGGTCTTAAATGTCCTTATTGAACTCTGAATACCTGGGGATTTGATGTAGATCTCTGTACAGAAGGGATTTCTTCTGAAAGCATAACTGTCCTTAACTGGTGAATGATGAGTTATGAGTTACGCATCTGACTGTACCATGTTTATGCCTTTAATGGTTTATATGGAGTTTAAATTTCTCCATGTGGGGTTCTGCTTTTAAACAGTTGCATAAATACTGAACTGTAAGTGCTCAGATGGATGTTTTTTTTCTTAGAAATTAAGCAAATAAATCTGTATAAAGATATATACCTTTATTAATAAGAACTAAGAAAAGTAAGTATGGAATACTATTTGGATTTTTGTCTCACACTGGTATTTCAGAATGAGCCGTAGTTATGTACAGAGTTTTGTATAAACTAGGAAAAGTTCAAAAATTACGCATTTCCTCACTAATGTAGTTTTGTTTGGACAGAATTTCAGAATTTTACAAGCCTTAACTAAAAATCTCTTAAGTCCTTGAAAGTATTTCAAAGATCTCTTAAGTCATACAGAAGGCTAACTGCAGGTAGTGTGGACTTGAAATATCCATAGGCATGTGGGTATAGAAGTCTTAAGGTTATTAAAACAATAAATGCTGTTTCTAGAAATAAAAAGCTCCTCCCATCCTAGTTTGACAATGTTTCTCTAATTTATTTAAGGGAGAAGCATTGTAGTTGGTATGTAAGGTACGATAGGGCTCAGATATAAAACTGTTTGCTGTCTCCTCTGTTACATAGAGAATATGTATTGCTTCAGATGTACCTGTAAGGATGAAGTTAAGGATGAAGTTACATTCAGCACCAGAGTCGGTCTTAAGTATTGTTTTTAATTTTTAATTTACTTTACAAAGTTGGAGCATTACATTAGTACGCTTTAATTTCCAGCTCTTTTTCCGTAATAACTAATTGAATTGCTCCTTTCTTCCTTCTATGTGTGATCCTGATTCTGCTGGACTATCTGCTGAACTTCATGACAACATCACTTGTGGTTTTTGTTGTAACTCACATTTGGCATGTTCCAAATGGACTTGTGCTAGCATAATGAGAGATTCCCTCAAGGAGGCCCATCCCAGATGGGTTCACCTCTGGTTAGTAGAACGGGCTCTGAAACTCCTCAGCCGCCAATGAGTGGTGTAGGTGCCGTGAGTGGTGGACCTGGTGGCTTTGGTAGAGGAAATCCAGGGGGCAACTTTGAAGGACCTAACAAGCGTCGCAGATACTAAATCTTAATTCATTCCTTACTGTTTTAGAAATTCCAGTACAAGTATACAGTGATATGCCTTTATAATTTTAGCTGTTATCTGGAAACGGTTCTATTGTTATTGTAGTCTTTAAAACAGTTTCTTTTGTAAAACTTTTTTTGTATTCAGTCATAGGCTTTGTAGCATAGAGCAGAAATGATGCGGATCATTATGTAAGGCAATGTGTTTGTGACTCTAGCAAAATGCAATGTGTGACTATGCTGTAAAACGTGCGGTTATCTGATTACAATAAAACAAAAATCACTGGAAAGGATTTTGGGAATGTTATTACTAATACTGAGTAAGAATAATTTTATGCTTAATTATAAGTGGCATCATTTTCATTTTTATGTAGTTTCTACTATGTTTCAAGAAAGTTCCACTCTTAATAGTGTTTAGCTGAACTGCATGGTGCAGTACATACTGTGAAAAACTTAAAATACAACTGCTTTTATTTTGACTTTCAAAGAGCGTAAATTTTTATACAAAGTGTTCTCCAAGATGCTGTGTCCTTGCATCTCAATCCACCATTGCAAACTTAGTCACAGTAGGCTTATCAACAGAGATTATCTGTCAGACAAATTGTTAGAAAATTTAACTTGGGGAGGGAAAAAACCAACTTGGGAAAGGAATCTCTGTGTATGCTATATTCATAACAGTATGAGTGAATTTACCTAAACCATATTTATGGAGGAAGAAAATTGGTTGCAACATCTTTGTGTTCTGCTGATGGTTAAAGTATCTCCCACTGCAAGGAAGGAGACATTTCTGCCTGCTGGTCGAAAGCTTTCCTCTGTGTTTGCACATCATTATTAATAAGTATACATTTTCCCTAGTGGTTGGTTTGAATAAAAACATGTCTGTTATCAATGTGTAACTGTTTAATTAGGAAACAAATACATGTTTTCCAGTGGAAATAAGTGTTCACTTGTAGTTGAATAATATGTATTTAGAAGGATTGCACATGAGTATTCTTCAAAAAGGTTTTACAGAACAATGAATTTGGAAAATGTCCATTTACAGCACAACTCAGGGTAAATTTGCTGATTGAGTTTTAAGATAAAACTGGTAGTAAAGCTATTAGGAAGCTTATTATGATTTTGTTTTGTCAGTCTTGGAAGATGATGGAAAAGACCTATTGGTTCTATTCCTGTAATGACAAATAAGTAGGGATATTGGTTGGTTACAATTACTCTTTTTCCTGTGCAAAATAGTTGTAAAATAGTGCTGTTCTTCTTTATCAGTTCACATATATTTTCAGATGTAGCTATAAATTTTATCTGTATGAATTGTGATGCTATATTGGTTAAAAACTGATTTGAAATAACCTGGTGCCCTAATAACATCCAGATGGTATATACATAGTTCAGCATGGGATGAAAGCAGCAGTGAGGATTTGTGTGTTACTTGTTAAATGTGGCGGTGATTGGCTTGGTGGATTGAATTTTGAGCAAATGGTTAACAAGAAAAGTGCAATATTGCTGGCATTTTGGAAATACTCTGTTACTTAAATTGCCTGTGTTAAGATACTGTTTTCATACAATTCAGGAGTTATCTTAGTGTATCTAAGTATGTAGGTCCTCACTTGTGACATCTCTACCTGCTAAGCATTTTCCTTTAGGTTGTCTTTAATGTTGCCATTTTTTGCTTGACTTAATACATGCCACATTTTGTAATACAATATTGAGTTACCTTTAGTCTGGAATACTCTTTCCCCTTGGTATATGTATCACATTATAGCACTCATTCTTAAAGTAACCATCAACCGAACTGAAAATTGTTTTCCTTTACACACTGGTCCTAAACCTCAAGATTTGGGAAAATTACTTTTTTTTTCACTGCTATAAACTAGTGTTTGCATATGGCAACTAGTTAAGCTCTCTGCTCTAGTGTCCTTTATGGAGCTGAAAATGCAGTTTACATTGGTATCTAGTAAGGTATCCAAATATGAGGTTACTTTTTTTCTAATATTTTCTGCCTTTGTACATGACTTTTTTTAGGGGATTGAGGAAGTATTCGGTGTGAATTGGTAGTTCTCAACTGTAAAGCTGTACAGGGAACATGTTTTAAATACAAATTAAATTAGATTCAAAAGATTGGTTCGTCTTCTTCAAAGGAATAGGCTGTGTTGTTCAGGCCTTTTAGGTAGCTCCTGTATTTGTTTAGCTATGTAAGCCCTCTTCCTTGTAGTGTCTGAGTATGTTTCAGAAGAACATTACATATACTGAATCTACAGAAGTAATTCATACTTTCCATGCCAGCTTCATGCTATTTTAAGTGCATATTTGTTTCACTGTATTTTTGGTAGCAAGTGGAGGTATGCGTGTATTTGAAAGTTATTGTAGATTTTATTTAACATTGGTGATTGTCATTCCACAGTTTTGACCTACCCTTCCTGTAATCCTCTGACTTGGATGGCTCTGCTGCATAGTAGCAGTGGATTTGTCAGCTGTCCATACTGCAGAAAATAATCTATTTTTAAATGTCCATGAACCAAGTCCTAACAAATACTGAAGTGTATTTTTGGGCAGATTTTAAGGAGTTAATGAAGTATGCCTTTTGTAGCTGATGACATGCTGCTAAGTTCAGCTTTTAAAAGTTTTCTTTGGGCTTCTTGGCTTAACTCTAAAGGCAGTGCTTCTCATTCTGCCAAATGTGGTAGTAACTGATCTAGCTATACAATAAATGCCTAATTTTGTTAAAAAAGGAATAGTCCCAAATTGTTTCTCAAAAATGTGTAGATGTGGCCAACCAGTGTTTGCTTGAAGGTTCTGCCCTTCTGCTAAAGTGATTAATTTTTCTTGATCCTCATCTGGTGAAGCAGTTTATAATTTTTACTGTGTACACATGTACTCAAATTTTTAACTACATTTGCACTGTTTGACTGGAAAGCACAGTGAAGTCCTGACACTCTGCTATATGCTATGCTGAAACAAGTAGGCTTGGAATATATGTGAATCTGCCTACTACAATGCACTTACTTTTGTAATGTACTTACTGAGCTTTTACATTATTCTGGAAGTTTCATATTCCTAAAATATCTAATTTTCCTGTGAGATGCAATTTTGGTATTTAAGGATAACAAAGCTTTAGTACTCCATTTAAGTTCTTACCAATTTGCTCATTAGATAAAGCACGTTGACATCTTGGGAATCTTCATGGCGATTCTAATATACTTTACTGTATTTATTTCCTAAGAAAATTGTGAACTACTGTGGATTACCTAGAAAGAAGATTCCTGGTGTGCAGTTGTTTTATTTGTTCTCCACATTTTTTATGCAGTTGTACATAAAGATATAATAAACTGGAGATTCTTACTAGAACAAAATTTAAAAGAGATGTCAAGAAGACAGTATGAACTAAATACTTAATTTTAAGCATAAACCAGTAGGATTTTATAATACGCATTCTTTGAGGAGCATTTGATGTAAAGTATGCTGCTACATTCACCAAATTAATTTCCCTTTTTTCCACTCTTTATTTCAGATATACAATAGTTTGTAATTACAAATACTTTGAAAGGTACTAAACACAAACACAGTGACATCTATGAACTGTGTCTTGCTGAACAGTTGTAATCTACCTTGAGATAACTTGGGTCAAAAATGCTGAAACAACCAATCTAAAGGTAGATTCTCAAATGAAAACCAAAACCCTGTAGGCCTTTTTGGAGGGATAAAATATGCTTGGAGGTGAGATGTTCAGCAATTAATTAACTGGTATGCTCTGGTAGCATGAAGTTCATTTTAGTTAATGTTGCAGAAACAAATTTTTTTGTATACTTCCTAATTTATCTATTTTTATAAGAAGTTGGATCATAATTTTCCCTTCCTAAGTCAAACTTAAGTGTAATTGAATTACTAAAATAGCACAGAATGCAGGGTAGCAACTAGAGCCAGTTTATGTTGGACCACAGATGTGAAGGCATTCTAAATCTCATTCCCAAGACTTGAAATGTTGCATATCCATGGAGAGTTTTAGTCTGCATGCAGCATCTTTTGTTAGCTTGTGCTTGTGGCCAGGAATGGGGGACTTCAGAGAACACATACTTCCAATGCAATCTTAATTGTCTTCTCAGGAGCCCTCAAATTATTAATGTAATAATAATAATTATTAACATAAATAACAGCACTGTGCTGTTATTAAGGTGCTTATCTTGGAGTTTGTTGCTTTCCATGGGCTGTTAACTCACTCCTACCATGAGGGAATATAAGTCCAAACTTTCCTGACTCATCAGTGGTAAGGAGGGAATAAGTGTGGCCTATGAGATGCAAATCCAGTACTTTAGATTATTGGCTACTCAGTGCTAGTTTGGTGGCAAATGTTGAACTGTAGTAACCTGAAAGCATTTGCTTTCTTAAAAATTCACTTACTGAAATTTAAGAACTTGGTAACAATAAAAGGATTGACTAAAAATTTTGACTACCTAATGTCAAATATATTTTTTCCCATTGGATTGTTTTTATGTTACCTTTTGTTACATTTCCAGATATACTGTAAAGTAGTTTTATCAATCTCAATAGTTTAGTGTGTTTTGTTGATAGTTTTGAGTGCCTTCCCAAAAAGTATTTTAAAAATCATAGTTGTAGGCATTTCAGGTGTGTTTTCACAGTAATCCATGAAATACTGAAGCTAGTTATAAAATTGTCTAAAATGTTACTTGTAGAATAAATAAACTGAACACGACATTTTCATGAAAACAGTACTTTTGTGGTTTTAAATGCATGGGAACAAACCCTCAATGTGTTAATTTTCAGTGGAATAGATTTTTATAGGTCTTTTCCATCTTGAACTTCCTTAAGATACTATGAAAGTTAATATAATTGAAATTTGGAGGCATCCTTATTAATGATCTTAGCCTCACTTTTAAAAGCAGTGAGAGACGTTTCTTCTATTTGGAACAGCAGCCCTTTTTTCCTAGTTAAAGGAGCTTTTCAGAAAACCATTCAGAGATAAGCACAACAGACTTACAGGTAAAACTATTAAAAAGACCCTCTGCTCTAATGTAATGATTATTATACACACAAATCACATTGAAAGAAAAAAAGCAACTTTGTTAATGTGGGTAAAAGCTCCAGTGATTTATATGTTGTCCCTTGAGTGTAGAATAAAATACTCATAATAACAGGTATGAGATTCAAAAGGAATTGGATTGTGTTCTTACATACACATGTGGATAAGGTTTTTCTGTTTGTTTAGGTAAATTATTTGTCTAGAGCTTCCATTGTATCTAGATTTACTAGTGTGCTTTTATGTCTCAATTTCTGTAGAGTAAAGCATAGCTGTATAATTTGATTGATTTTACATGCTAATTGTATGCGGGACATTAAGTGCTTGACTTGAAAGAATTGCAGTGAGAATGAAGATACTGTTCTTGACTTTAAGTAAAAACTTCGTAGATCCTTGAACAGGAATAAGTGTGGAGGGTCCTGTATGTAAATTGAACGAAAAAATGGGAGAGAGGGAATAAAGTAATGTAATAAAAGTGAGAAAAGTGTGGTTTAATTTTATATCTACAGCAGATTCACAAATATAACTTAGTCTTGTTCTACATGAAAGCCACAAACTAACTAATTTTTAATAGAAGAGGTGGAAATACCAGTTACCTTCATGTCTGGGATTTTTTGAACTAAATTTAGTTTTGTGCAGATGGCCAAGGAATAGCAGAAAAACTGAAATGAATTAATGTTCTAAAAATATTTTTAAATTCTTGGGTTGTAGGGTGGGATCACTGCAGTTGGATATATCTCTTCTGTGTTGTGTTTTTTGAAGTTGATGTGTTGGACTTCATTTTTGTGGCTGAATACAGCAACTGTATACAGCGTACACACACCATGTAAGTATGTAACAGCTGATTTTAAGGTTGCTAGCCTCTCATCAAACCAGTGAGAATCCAGTCTTAAACCTGAGTGCATCATAGACAGAGAAGCACCAAACAGAAGAACATGGTAAAGGAAAATGAAATCGCACATATCCATTAGTAGTACTGGGATGGGATTAAGGTATTTCCATTAATTTTTTGCCTTAATTCACTGTAATCAATTTTTTGGTGTGTGACAGGGAAACTAATTTTATTATCAGTTAAAATAAGAAAGAAAAAGATCCCCAACAAAACACCTCTCCCAAAGAAATCCCCAAACCCTAAATAACTCAGTGTACAACCCAACCCCAAGCAAAATGTGTTTTCTCACCCTAAGTGAAAAGGTATACTTAAGCAAGGTGGAAGAGAAGATAAATCTAAAAATATGTAAAAACCAAAAGGGTTTACTGTAATTATTTTTGCATCTGTTAGCTCTTGGTGTTCTGGTAATTTTAAAGTATTGCTTTAAAAAAAAAAATAAAGTTCAATTACTGTTCATTATTTGTTATAAAAGGATTTATTCTACTAAATTTATTTATTGTTAGTAAGCTTTCAATATGTCTATATAGTGTAAAATTGCATGAAAGAACACTGCATAAACCAGCTATTGCAATACTGTAGAACACAGTCTTTGAACTGCTAGCTGAAATCTTCCAGGCTGCTTACAAATGTTTTAAATATTTATATGCTAATGGGAATTTGAAATATTTGTGTGTATATTTAAAATAATCCAGTACATGCCTTACTGCAGATACAAATAGCCTTTTGCCCTCCTTGCTGCTTGGTCCTGCTTCCTCTGTGTCCCCAGGCAGTGAGCAGGAGACCCAGGTAAAGGCAGGTAAAGGAGACTGAGAATTATTGATTCTGCTCATTTCAGTGTGGAAGGAAAGAAGAGCAAGAAGGGGCAGTAGAACAAGACTCTTCATAGCTGTGCATACCTGCAAAAGGTAGTTTAATAAGTGTTCTCATTAAGTGACTTTGGAAGAAATACATAGCTAGAACAAAAGGGTAAGAAGCGTGTTGAGGGCTTTAGATGTCTGAATAACGTGGTTATGGTTTACATTCTTGGTGATAGCTGGGCCACGAGGGCAAGTATTTCAAGCAGAAGAAAAAAATATCCACTAAAATGTTGAGCCAATTTTATGTGAGCTTGATCTGTCTGTTCACTTTCTAGAGTTACCAAGAAGGTTACATGCAAGCCAGTAAAAAAATGGAAAATAGTGTTCTTCGTGATTTCTCCAGGAGAGATGATATACACAGTTGCTTTAAAAGGAAGCAAGACTATTCACATGTACTTTTTGTTGGAAGAAAATATATAAACTGCCATTACAAAGATGGGAAATATTGTCTTTTAAAATGCTAACATTCTTCATTCTTTGATATGATAGTGCTGTGTTGTTCCATATATTATGTTCTGCTTTTAAGGGAGAGAGCATGTGAAAGGTAAGCCACAGCTGCAGTTTTAATCAACTTCAACTAAAAAGCTTTTCCCAGATGACACACCTGTAATAATGAAATAGTAGTTCACCTTCAGTTTTGTTTCAGTGTGGAACATTGTGTTTCTAGAACTTACCATTTTACCAGTTCCACATCTGACATTTTCAGAACCAGAGCTGTGTCAAATCACACAAATAAAATTTTTGCCTTAGTGTATAAAGAGTGCGATTACTGCAATTCAAAAACTGAATGTTCAAGAGTTTTGAAAGAAAATTTATGGAAGAATTGTCATCTATTGAATTGCTGGTTTAAAAGTGAAAATTGTCAACTTTGCAGCAGGGATGGCTGTACTTCTAAAATTATTTTAGGCTATGTGTCAGTTTATTATTGAAATGTTATACTTTTTGTAGTTTTTGTAATACCACTTAATGCATGTTTGACATTTTTCTTGTATCACACTCGTGTAGTTTCATATATTATTCACACTGATGAATACAACTGTCTGTAGATGGGGGATACCAGAGCATTTGTTTAGTATTATGTAACTTGTTTAGGAGGTTTTTCGTTGATAAGCTTGTTTTCTGTCTTGTGTTTACTCTGGATGTTATGAGCAAAATACACTTTTTCTACTTTATGTGGGGGAAAAGTAGCAAGTAATGAAAAAGTAGTTATTAGGAAAGTAAATGGAAGTCCTGGATGCTTCTTGGTGTTTCTAAAATGACACCTGACTCAGGAGAATAAAATCACTTGGTATACTTTCTACATGATTATTCTAGACTTTTTCCTGCTTACAGCATGTTTAAGGATCATTATTCAAGGTTATAAACAAAATGTTTAATTTCTGTCTGGTTTTAATCCTAAGCATGTTTACAAGACAGTAAATTAAACACAAAGGTCTTGATGCTTGCTCTGAATAGTACTCTTTAACTCCCCAAGTTGTATTAAACAAAAATAATTTGAGTTTCATAGTTTTTAAATACGGAATTAGCCAGTCCCCTGGGGGTGTGGTGGAGTGGAGGAAGCACAGATTTGTGGAGAAATCATACTCTTGTTTTCAGCTGCATTATGTTTGTGGGCATGCATTTTTTACTTTTTACACAGGGCCCATTTGTTGCAAATATGTAAAAAGATATATCATCAATCGTATTTCATCCAGTTATTAGTTCATTGCTACATTGTAAAAATAGAATTGCTTACTTCAGGCACATTCACTTTACTGGAGATCATGGCACGTAGTATAAATATCAGAAATAGGGTAATTCAGGTGTTGGTAGCAGCTGATGATATGTTGTTGTGCCTTTAAGCCTGGTTGGATAAAAGCTGATGCATATTGAGCATAACAATGTCTTAAAACTTGGTGCCCAGAACTGTGATGCTGCACTAGCATTTCTGCCTTATTGCTGTGGTAATCACAGAAATACTCACAGATTTGAAAGTGTTCCATCCAGATATATGGAGGAGGGTAAAGGATTGACTATTCTATGTTGCTTGGTTTTGAGGTCTTGTGTATTGTAGAATTTTTTTATATGATTGCTCAAAAATCTGTTTTTTTAAAAACTGTCTTGTATATTTAAAACTGTTCAATGTGAAGGAAGCCAAATGGTGTATCTTTAAAGAATGTGGGAAAATTACTTTACTAGAGGTCTTAATTGAGCTCTAAATAATTTACTGATTTGACACTGATGATTTGGTGTCTTAACTCGAACCTTACACTACATTTATATAGAAAATTTTGCAAGCTTCTGCCAAGTTTTAGAAGTAATGTACGATGTACTGACGGTAGGACTGGGCCAAATCATTCATATTTGACGCTTGTTACTGGCCTGCTCTGGTTTTCGTAATCAATTCATTTTAGCATTTTGTTTCCTTTTCTGTACTCTAGGTTTTCTTTTGTTGTAAAAGGCTTTCACGTTTTCTTCATGATGTGGAAGATATGAGCTGTATGAAACTTTATTTGGGGGTTCTAACACTAAACTTGATGGAAGTGGTTTAAAGCAACGGAAAGATGTCAGATGCACAGTAAAAACTACTTATTTCTATGATTTGATAAGCTGTTACATACCTCTTCATATGTGTTTTGTTAGTGTGTATCATGTATGTATTCTTAACCTTGTTGTGCCTTTAAAATGGATTTATATCTCTTTCTAAGGGGGGCAAAAATTTTTGTTCTGGATTAATTTAATTTCATTGTTTCTCCTTTGTGTAGTTAAGCAATAATGAAGTGACAGGATGTACATGAGAACTTAATAGGTAGTTACTCTTCCTGAACTCACAGATGTGTGCAAATACTAATACAGAAAAGTAAAAGTAGATAAGTGTTCATCATGGATTTACAGATGAGGGAGATACTAAAATGTGGTTTTACCTTATCTTTGACTTTGCAGCTTTTTAATAATTTGGGAAGTACCATAGAATTAAAACCCCCAAATACAATTCTTATAAACCTCATCTAAAATTCTTAAATGTTGTTTCACAGTTCTGCTATAAACAAAACTAGTTCAGTGTAAACATTCAAATAAAATACACGCTTTAATGGAACAAGTAATTCTGAAAGCCTGTGTCTTATTAAGATAAGAAGAGTGGGAGGTTAGGTGTATTTTCTTGTATCTTTACTTTTTGATTAATGTTAAAGGAATAGAGGTGAAATAAATGAGATGCATAGAAAGGCTAAATATACAGGACACAATTTCCTGGGAAAGGACTGAAGTTCAAATATGTGTAAATTAAGTACCAGTGCTTCCAGTAGAGGACTTCTGTCACAAGTTTAGAGAGCTCCTCCTTAGAAACAAGGGATGCCAAATCTGGTCCTGCTCTTATGGCAGGAAAATGTCATCTTTGCTTTGATTGTGACAAAGCAAGGATTATCACGATTTAAATTTATGACGTACATAGTTATCTTGCCACAGTGATGAATTTGAATGGCTGAAGAGTCAGCATCTTAGGTAAGTTTGTCTGATGAGCTGGTATATGCACAGCTGCACGATTGTAACAGCCTTCCCAGGACTTGGAATGTGGTAGTGCCTTTGGTTGTTTCAGCAGTTTCTTCATGTGCCTCAGTTAATGAAGCACTTTTGGTTTTTTGGTCATTCAAAGAACAATTTGGTTGCACAGATGCTTTTCAAAGTCATATTTTCTGCTTAGAAAATTCTCTTGGGTATTGACAGCCAGCGCAGTTGTGGGTTGAGAGTGGTGCTGTCATGGGGTGCTTAAACCAGCATTTGCTCCTATCAGCTGCAGTTGGCTTAGTTTATACCTGTTTGGTCATTACAGTGCACTTCCAAATATTATTTTTCATTAATGAAAGTTGTGTTCTCAATGAGGTATTGATCTGAGCAAGTTTGAGTAGAGACTTAAGAAAATATAAACTTACATTTGTAAGAAATTACAGAGTTACATTTGTATTGTCAGTGAGACAAATTCCTTTAATAATTCCAGGTGTGTTACAGGAAATTTTGTATCTTGGATGGTTCTGATTCCCTACGTTTGTAATAAAGGTACTTGAATTTTGTTCTACCTCTCTTTTCTGAGGTTCATTTTTAAACTGTTTGGACATTTATTTTAGCTTTCACATTATGATGTAAACTAGAGTCCTTCAAACTTTATGCATAAATATACCCTGTCAGGGCATACTCATCAGTCAGGTGTTGATCAGATGCAAGATTTTGCAGAGTCCAAAAAGTAAGTGTCTAAGTTGTTAAATAAGATGAAAGTAAAGTTATGAGAAGACCAGAACAAGATTGAGCAGAATAGGAGAGCAAACTGCTCTGAAGGTGGTCTGTAAAAAGCAGTGTGAAAGAATCTGGTGACAAGTACATGTTCTGTTAATTGTTCAAAGAAATTGATGCATTAGGATATAGAACTTCAGTTTGAAATGCAGACTTCTTTGGAGAAGCGGCTGCTTGCTTAAGTGGAGTTTCTTTTTCAATACATTGCAAGTAATGTTTGTAGTGTATTAGAATGGATGTTTTTTACTTGTGTGCATCAAAAGTCACAATCAAGTAACTGAAGTAAGAGCTTTTATGTTTTAGTCTGTGTAACCATTTTATCATTAATGTGTTGATATTTACAAACTTGGCACCTGAGATAATTTTGATGGCTTATTTTTAAATCAGTATTTTTAATGTGAGAATTATAGTGCAAGCTGGCATCTTGAAATCTGAACAAGCTATGATGAAAAACAGTACCAACAATCAGTCTCTTTGATTAGAAATATTTAGTTTTGAATATGATGCCAAGTTACTGTCTTTGTATATTAGATGATATCAAAAGGGAGTTCCTCACTTCTCACATTGTGCTATTGGCCTAGTCCTGTGCAAAGGAGTGTCATCATTGAGGCCTTTACTTTGCTCTCAGTTGAAGAAAATGGTAATCAACTGGAGTGACTATATGGGGGGTATATGGTGGAATGGTTAATACTATTCCTAACACTCACTAAGATGCCTGATCTGTTTTTCAGACTTGAAATTATTTCTAGTACAGTGCTTTTCAGTCCACTTTGCCACATGTTAGTAGGTGTTCACCTTGCTTTACATATGACAGCTGAGCTTAAAGCTTTTCTAAAATGTTTGATATTTTAGAATATTAACTTAGAAAGCTATTTCACTTTGGGTAGGAAGAATAGCTTTATCTTGCAGATAACAGTGACTTCTACTAAAATTAGGAATGCTGTACATAAAATTTACTGCATTATATGGTACTATAAAGCTGAAATAAATCTTGATAGTGCGGCATCAGCAATATGTCCAGTTGTGCAAGGACAGGACAAAGAGCTGAGTTTGAGTCCCAGCTTACCAGACCAGACAGTACAAGAGCATCAAATAGAGAAATAGTTCCTTTATTCAACATTGCTTTGTGGGCTTTTTCAGAAACAGGTAAGTCTATGTCAGTATACCAATAAGGGGTAGAACGTTTGCAGGATACTCTGCAGTTTATAATGCTGTTTGTTGTCTTTGTCTTGAAATACAGATTCCATTTCCTGTGTATTTCAAATCTAATGAAGATTTTCTGTTTTCTACCAAATATGATTTTATTATGGTGGAAGCTGGAAGCTGGTGTTCTGCACTTGTTATATAGTAATTTGAGATGGAAGTTGTCACCTGGTAGAGTTAATACAGGAAGGAAATTACTTGATTGCACAAAGACTCAGAAATCTTTTGACAGGACCAGAGGAAACGGGTACGTGCAGAAACACAGGGGGTTACTTCTGAGCATCAGGAAACATTTTTTCTGTGAGGGGTGACCAAGGACTGGCACAGGCTGCCCAGAGAGGTTGTGGAGTCTCCATTCGTGGTGATGTCACGAGCCATCTGCATGTGGTCCTGGGCACTGGATCTAGGTGGCCCTGTCTGAGCTGAGGAGTTGGACCAGATGATCTCTAGAGATCCCTTCTGACATTAACATGTCCATGATTCTGTCATCTAAGAAAACTTTGGATTTATTAAACTTTACATGAATGAATTAACAGTTAAACCTATTACATGCTTAGGTATTTGGATCTTTCCTTAATAGGTTTCATTTCAATGTAGATGTATGAGCTGGGTAGTATTGTTAAATTTTACATTTTCAAATTAAGCATGTCAAGACGAAAGCTCTTGGAGTGAATGAGTTGTTGTTAATGAAGACTGTGTGACCATGTCTTGCCCTGCCCTTCCCCCAGCACAGTCTTACTGCTTCAGAGATTTTAGCCCCACAAAGATAATCAGTTCTGCTGTCATTATTTTGGAAGAGGAGGTTAGGACACTGGCCTAACTTGGCACCTGCTGCAAAATGACAGGTAAGGAGCCTTACAGGAGGGAATGGGGAGCATTGTGTGAAGTTCTGTAAAGCAGAATTGCAAATACTTCAGAAGCTGTGTTTTAGTGAGTTTCACAATTCCTTTGGAATGCTGGTTTTGTTTTGTTTTGTTTAATTAGAGAAAATTGGACTGTGAACAGTATAGGAAGTTTTGTGTGAAACTAGATTCCCTCTTAGATTTTTGAAGATACAAAATGTCCTCAAAATAGTGAGGTCATCACTTATATATAAGAATTTTTCTGTAAAACAAAGCTTATGCTGATTTTCTATAGTGTTAAAACTAAGATATGAGAAAACTGTCTCTTAGGCTTTGCATATGCACATTTTTGCTACTTAAAAACAATTTGAAATTATTTTGAAATAAAAAATGAGTCTTAATAGAAGTATGCCTATTTGAACATCCCTAACATCTTAGTGGTTCTCTTAACTCCTTGTATAAGCGTATATTTGTTTGCATTGTGTGTAGCATGATGGTATCCTGACTTCTGTTAAAGTAGTAGAGCTATACTGATCCTACTTAACTCTGTGCTAGCTATGCTAGTTTAACGATATCTAGTTTACAGCAGACTTTTCTAAATCTGTGTCTGCAATAGGTGACCTCCGAGTTTCCAGAACCTGGCAGAACTATCTTGTGAAATTTTAACTGTAGCTTCCTCTGCTAAGTGCAGTATTTTCAGATGCTTTTCATCTGTCAGGTGTCTTAAATTTTCTTTGTGAAGTCACATCTATACATCATTATTTCTAGGTGAACGAGATGATGAGGGTTAAAGGTTATTCTCTTCTTCCTTAAACAATTTGTACTTTTTAGCTGTTCATGATAAAGTATCACAAAATGCTCAGAACTTCACACCTTTGTAACCTGTCACATGAGTTCTGAATGGAGAAAATAACACTGTTACTTGGACATTTTTCCAAGTTGCTCAGCATGAACACAGTCATTGAAAGTAAAAATCTGAACATTGAAAGATATTTCTGCTGCTTCAATAACTACGTTTTTTAATGGGAGTGTCATAGAGGGGAGCGGGCTGTATTAAAAAATACAGGATTTAGTTGTTTCATACAGATTATTGTAATGACTTGGACTACTTTCTCAAAACGCACAGAATTTTGCAAAAATATAATTTGTGTATATATATTTGTATAAAAAACATTTTGATGCTATTGTGTCTTGCATCTAGGAATGTAATGACTTGCAAATGACCAATTTTTATTAATTTTACAAAGTGCTTACAAATTTTAGTATCTTTGAATTCAGATCTTGCTGAAGCTGTACAGATGAGAACTTTTGTGTCTTCTGTTTAAATACTTTCAGACATGTTCATCATTCCCTAAATACTGAAGAAATAATCTAATTTCTGTATGGTGAAGATCTGCAATCCAGGCAAAACAGAAACAAATGTCCCTTGATCGCAGATTGTCACTGGCATGTGTTCACTAGTAACTGCCACCATTTGTTCTTTTTTGAAATCTGATCCCAGAAGAGGAATATTACTGCATTTGCATTCCTCATTCTGTGTAAGATGCTAACTTCAGATACCCTACACCTTGTAACTTGAAAGTTGTGAAATGGATGTAAAATATTTTTAATGATCTTGCAAAGGAAATTGAATGCCTTGTTGGCTTAGCTCAAGTAGTATTTTCCCTTTTTAAGAAACTTAGTTCTTCTTTTGAGCTCTAATTTGATAATTTTTTTTCCCATTAAATGCTTGCTTGCTTCTAGTTCTCTGCAAGTATATGCACTTATTAAGAGAGTTTGACAAAGACAAGATTGGAAAAAATTGTGTTGGCCGTTTGTCTCCTATAATCCCTGGCAGGTGTACAGTGATGCCAGGTAACAATTGATTTAGTCTCTGATGGTTTTATTGTCCTCGGCAGGGACTACTCATAATTAAGATGAGCAGGTTTGGCTAGATTAAAGTTAATACTAAGAGAAGAATGGGGAGGATAAGATTGCCTGACCATTTAAGAATGTCTAGCACTATATCTTCTGTTAGTATGTCAGCAGCCAACATTGTTATTTGTTACCTTTTGATAGGTAAGCCTGAACAAATGCAAACATGAACACAGCTCTGCGGATCATCTCGGGTTCCCTTTGGAAACCCCAAATAAGTGGCCACAAGGGATTGTGTGTTTTCCTGAGAACAGCTCGGCAATGGAGTTCTTCTTTCTGTGTGCTGGATAGTGGTTCTGCTACTCTCAAAATCATACCTGTGCCTGCTGGTGCAAAAAGACATATGGTCACTTCAGTGGAAGTCAAAATTTACCTGTGCTGCTCTTGTGTGTTGCTAGGTAATTTTAAAAATAGACCTAAATAAAGGGGAAACTTAGGGGGGAAGCTCTTTGTTACAGTAGCAACCAAAAATCCTATTAATTAAAAAAAATGAAAACCAAAAACCCCTTAACCAAACCACAAAACCTGTTCTGTCAGTCAAGCCAGTGAAGCTGCCACACATCTGTGTGCAAGGTAAATGTGCGGTGTCCTTTGGTGTTGTAGTCTCGCAGCTGTTCCTGCTCTGAATTAGCACTGGCAGCCTGGAGCTTGTCCTGCACAGCCCATCTCTACTGGAGCTATCCTGCTAAGCTGAGTATACATTACTTGAGATAAGTGCACTTAGGAGTTGGTTTTCAATTTTCCTTCATAACGGCAAAATATATGCACAGTATCACTCAGTTTGTGTGTGATGTCTGTCTTCTCCAGAACAGGCATATTTCTCATGCTGTTAGCCTTTTAAACTAGTTCATTTTGTTTACGGTACCCACTTTGAGCTTTAATTTAAAGAAGAGCTTTATCATATTAATGAAAATTCAGTCTCTTACTTTGAAAACAACTTTTTCTTCTGTTCCAGCTGACTCTTAGCAATCACTTTTTTCATCACTGGCTGCTTGGATGCATTCAGCTCTAACAAAGTAATTAGTGCTAATTATAAACAGTAGAGTTTTTATAGGTTTATATAGGGTAGAGGGGTTGGAATCATCTTAGAAGGGGGAAAATCATGAATAAATCATGCAGAGGCACAATCCTAGTAAAAACTATACACATTTTAACACTCCTAGCAGTCTTACTGGGTGGTTTTAGAGCCTGTCATCAAAAACAGACACTATTTATTGGGCTACAACTTTGTCACCAATATCTACTGTTTGCCAAGAATATGGCTCACTGCTTTCTCTTCAGTAAGTCTGGATGGCCAGGAAAGAGAAAGTAATACTCATTGTCAGTTACAGAAACTGGAGAGACTGTATTAGGCCCTGGTGCTTGATCCGGGGGGGGGGGTGAGGGGGGGGAAGAAAAGGGATAAAGTAATTATTGGGTTTTGTTAGTAATGAAATACAGACTGAAAACTGTGCAGTTTGTAATTTTAGCCTTCCTGTTAGATGGGTACATACCTAGAAGTAATGTCTCAGGATGCTAACACTTCTCCAGATGACAGTTCCAGCCAGCTCCCTATGACTGGCAGTTCATCACTACAGCTATTACTGCATTTGACTCGATAAATGATTGTAGTATCAACACTTGCAAAGTTACAGATCTAATTAGAAAGGGTTAGTGGGCTGTGCTCTGTCATTTGTGCTTTAGGAAGAAAGTATTTATCTTGCTGAATGTCTGGTACAGAATAGATAACTGAACTTTTGAAATCTGATAGATAGCAAGCTTCACCATGGTGTGGGAGTGGAGATAAAAAGGAACCAAATGTAAGAATTTATGTAATAGGACTCAACCATTAAATCATGCCAACTTTAAAATGGTATTTATTCTGAGCTGCAAGTCTCAGCCTGTTTTCAGCTGTGTCTGATAAGGTAAATGTTACCTTTATTGTAAACGTTTGTGGTTGTGTGTTTTAATTTATATATGTGTCACTTCTTGAGTTGCTTTTTAGGACTGCTCCTAAAGTGAAGCTAGCCTGAAAGGTGCAACCTGCATGTGGCTTTCCAAAGGAATTCTTTCTGTAATAAATACTTTGCAGGGTGTGCTAAGTTGTATGATCATCAAAACAGGACCTCAAGATGTTGGAAAATAATTTTAACAAGTTTTTACTTGAGAGTATGGGGAGTTCTTCCCTTTGTGCTGTTGTAATGAGGATCTTTCCAGGCAGTCTTCTCTGTAGACATTTCATTAGGGCTCTCAGGCTCTGCAACACATTTCTGTGCCTGAGTAAGGGATTATGCTAAGCCTGTCCAACATCACAGTGCTCATATCTTACTTTAAATCTGAGGCATTTATGGAGAAGAGGTGATTTTAATTCTGGGAGGAGGGAATGTATCTACAGGTGAGGCTTTGAGGCCTGAATGGCTGGGGCATGGAGCTGTTGAATTTTAAACACTTTGTATAGTTGTTTTGCATGTGTACCTTATGAGAAGATATCCAAGATGGATACTACTTACTACAAATACAAGCCAATTGATTGTAGAAGTTGTAAAATTACAGAAGTCCTAAACTTTTGTGTCAATTTCTATACACTTGCAGTATTAAACTGTATTTTAATTATACTTGTATGCAGTTCTGTTGTGAGATGGTTTTTTATTCCAACTCAGTTCAGGCATATTATTTTGATAGATAACTTTGCCCCTAATTAATAATATCTGTACAAGAACATGCTGCAGAAAGACTGCAGTGAGAGCTGTTAGTTCTCAAGTGTCACTAATGCCTCAATGTTGTGTGTAGGGATCCCGATCATTTTAATGGCACTATTATTAGACGGATGAAATGCCATTTTTGCCACATGCCTTGGCAGGCTTAGAATGTCTAGAATGTCTTCTGTCACATGAAATATATGTTTTAGGAAACCTCCATAGAGAAATGACTTGGGGCTCTTTGGAGAAGAACTGCAGTTAATTTACTCCAAGGAGAAATATGAAAATCTAGAAACTTTTTAATGTTCTTGGAACAGCTGTTGCTTAACTGCTGAGGTAGTAAAAATTTAAATAAAAGCTGTGGAGAAACAACTAAGTGGTAAGAATGGGTAGAGAATAAATCTATTTCTTTCTGGTAATGGGAAGTTTTATTATGGTTTATTACTCCATATATAATGGGTTTTTGAAAAGAGAAGCTACTGTGTTTTCTTTTGCTTGAAATGTCAGTTATTTACTGTCTCTTTATTTTTGTAGGTTACTGTTAAAATCTTAAAAATGCAGATGAAGACTGGCTTGTGCAGAATCCTTCTGCTATCTTATGCAGACAAAAGGGAATCCTAAACCAGGTTTTAGTACAAGGTACGTATATTAAGGTATATTACTTTATCCAGCAGTTACTGAAATCAGTACCCCACTTTTTGTTCAGATTTGTGATTTTATGTAGTTGTGCTTCTACACTTCAATTAATACTTTATTTCAGATAATGTAATTCCTGGCATAGTTCCTGCCATGTGTTATGTTTTTAAAGGACTTCAAGCATATGCACACAGCTTTTAGCAGCCAGCTCAAGCTCTGGCCAGCCATCCAAACCCCATAGTGCCACGTTAATTTGATGCCATGACTGAGCTGCTGGATGTTACTGATACATAGCACTCAGACTCCTGATTGTACAACCAACACAGTAGTTACTGTTCTGAACAGTCTTTGGCATTAATCAGAAGGCTCTGTTATGGAAGGCAGTATCCATGTACTCTGGGAGACCTGGGGCAGAGTTTGATTTGTGTGCAAGCAGGTGTGTAGTGCCATCTGCCCTGACTCTGTGGACAGCATCTTAATGGGTCTGACAGATAGCAAGTTTTTAAAGGGAGCTCTATGCATCTAAGTTCAATAGTTCTGGTAGTTCCAAAATTCAAAAATACCAGTTATTTTTATAAAGTAAAAGTAAATTTAAACACTGGTGGGATTTGACCAAGATGTGCAAGTTCTACTGGTAAAGCAAGAGAAATTTGTGTTAATTCTTCTGTGTTGGTTTGGCTTAGCAAAATGACTCAGAGCTGTCTCTGTAGTTGTGTTAACAGTGAACTGGAAATATAAAGGACCAGAACAATTTATCTGTTTTGTAATCACATGTAGAAGGTGTCCCTGTCCATGGCAGGGGTTCAGACCAGATGATCATCCTTCTCCATTTGCTGGCAACTTTCTTTGTAAAGCAGGATGCCATTTGGATGCCTTTGTGGCCAGGTTGCACTCTTTGCTCAGGGTGGTTCTTGGACCTGGTGTTTACCAGGGCCACCATGTCCTTGCCTGCAAAGGGGCACTCCAGCCAGCTGGCCTCCAGCCTGTCCTGGTGTCTGGGATTATTTCTCCCCAGGTGCAGGATTTGGTATTTCGTTCTGTTGAATTTCACGAGATCCTGTAAACCCATTTCTCCAGCCTGTCGAGGGATCACTGGATGGTGGCATGACACTACGGCCTTAGCAGCCACTCCTCTCAGCTTTCCTGTCATCTGCAGACTTGCTGAGGACATGTTGTCCCATCAACCAGGGCAGAAATGAACATCCTGAAAAGGACTGGCCTCAGTACAGGGATACTCTGCTATTCACTCACATCCAAGAGGACTTAATGCCACCAACAACCTTCTAAGCCTGTCTCTTCAGACAGCTTTTAGTCCGGCTCATGGTCTACTTACTGAAAGTATCAGTAGTCTGTCAGTATCATGACAGGATCAAAATAATAACTGGAGATACTACGGCAGTGTCAAAAGATTTCCTAAGCCAAGGCAGACAATATCCACTGCTCTCCCCATGTCCACTGAACTGGTCACCTCACCAGAGAGGCTCTCCAGTTGGGAACCTTAAGCATTTGCAAATGACCTCATTGTAAATACATGCTGACTGCTGCCACTTAAACCTTCTTGCCCTTCTTGGTCTGGAAATGGGTTTTGGAATAGTTGTTCCATCACCTTCTGAGGGCCTATAGTTCCCTGCATCCTCTTTCCTGCCCTTCTTGAAGACAGGAGTGACTTTTGCTTTCCCCTGGTCCTTGCACACCTCTCCCAGTTGTCACACTCTGTCGGCAATGCAGTGTAGCCTTGCAAAGCCAGCAGCCAGCTCCTTCAGCACTCACGGGAGCATCCTATCAAGCTCAGCATGTGTGACTTTTCCAGTTCGTGTTCCATAACCTGGACCCTGTCATGTTCTTAGTACTGGGAGGGGCACTGATGAGGTGGGAAAGTTGTTGCACACCTTTTTGTGGTTCTGATTTTGCCCTTTACTAGGGAGTCACATTATTTTTCAGTTGTAGTAAAATCACAGTATAAAAATTGTCACACAATAATTTGCAATATAAGCTAGACTATTGAAGTAAGCAAGCTACAAGCATTTACTCACAAAATCTAAAAAAGACAAGCAGCTAAAGCTCTTTCTCAAAAAAGTAGTAGTAAAAAAGAAAATGCCTATTTTTTCAGAGTTTGGTTCAATTTTTTTTTTTTTTTTAATCTAGAGGACATTTTGTCTTGTCCATGTAACCACTGGAATTCAGTCTTGCTTGTCACTACATATGAGAGTGCTGCTGTGCATGAGAGCCATTTGGGACCCTCAGTGTTTGGCAGGTTTCCCAGGCATCTCAGAATTTTTCTGTCAGCTTACAGTTTCCTTCCTGTGAAGGGAAAAAAGGATGATCAAGGTTCCTTGGAGATACAAGTGTTTCTTTTACCAGCTAAATAACAACTCCTTGTCTCAATGAAGTGGTAAATGTATCTTCCTCTTTTTCCATTCCTCGTATGTGTGTGGACCTCAGACTGCAGAGTGAACCTGGCTGATGAAGTGTAGTGGCCTAATGAAATTTTGTTAAGTATTGTGCCAGGCTGCCTGTTCCTGGGCTTCCTGAACAGAGGGAGCTCCTTGCCATTGGAGTCTTCTTAAGTGCTCTACTTTGATGATAAGAGCACACTTACACGGAAGTTCTCACTCAAGTGTCTTTTAACTCTTTAGCCTGAATCATACTTACTTCTTGGAAATGTTTCTCTCCATTGAATGCATTAGGTTTCAATGGAAGCTGCTGGTGGCTGCCCATCCTCAGATCTGAGGCTGTTAGATTGTAATGATGTGCAAAATGCTGCTCTGCACCTTGGAGTTACAAGGACCATCCAGGTGAGAATATAATAATGTTGTCACTTGTTAGAACTCCTGTAATGGTAAACTTTGCACTCAGTTTCAGCTTGTTAGTACTATTTTTGTGCTTAATGCATGAATGTTTTTTTTTCCCCCTTCTATCTCTCTGTGCTCTTGGGCAAACAAATAATGCTGTTATCTAATAAAACAGTAGCTACATCTCTCACACCTGGCTGAAGGTAGGAGAAGGACAAACTGATCACTCTCAGTTAAGCTGTTTTCTCTCTGCTTGTAGACAGGTCAGACCTATGAGACCTGAGGGAAAAGGGCTGTTTGAAATTATAAAAAAGAACCCAGCCTGGAGGTGGTGTATCCCCCACCAATACCTCAGCTTGGAAGACATGAGAAGAATGTGAATACATCTGCTTGTGAGCTCCAAGTCCTCTTTCTACATGAGGAGACAAGTTACAGCTTTTGTGATGTTATTGTTTTCAGCCTTTGGCACAGAAGGTGGTGCCAGTCCAGCATTTAATAGTAAAGCTGATGTTGGCCTACTTTACTGATGCCCTTTTCATCTAGACTGCACTCAAAGCAGATTTTCTTCCTAGAAATAGCAGTGTTACGGCAAGTGGGTGTCACTAAAATGATTAAAGTTTGTATGTTCTACAAGAATAATAAGAGTAAATGATATATTACATGACTGCTGTTGGACTTTAAAAAAGCCTTTTAAAATTAAGAAGGTATTTTCAAGCCCTACAATATATGACAAAAAATAGGAAAGTGGTAGGGTTTAAAGAAAAAGCAGTAATGTGGATTGTGTTTATGCTGCAGTAGTTTAGAAGACTATGAAAGTATTAATTACGTAGAGAAAAATTGTATGAGCCAATGACAGCTGAAAAGAACTAGAAGGAAATGTTAATCATGGGGGAGATTACAGCTGCAGTAAGCTGTCTGTGCTGTAGGAAGTTATACTACAAATGCCTACTGTCTTAATGTAGCTCAATAAAAAAATGAGAAAACATGAAGAATGAAAAATTAATTTTATGTGATGAGATTTGAACACTGGCCTGTAACATACTACAAGGGTTTTAAAAAAAATTTGATATAGCTATTGTAAAACTTTCAAATTAAATTAGTAACAGGATGTTTATTTTTTATTTCCTGAAATCAGCAAGGCAGTGGACATGAATTGAAGGCTTGACAGGAACCTCACACAGTTAAATCCTGCAGTGGGAACTGAACTAAGCTGGTGCAGTTGTAGATCCTGGGCACAGACTGGTGGCGAAGCAGCTTTGTGGAAAGCTGATCTGGGGTCGTGACAGACAAGTGAAGACGAAGGTGTCCACCCCCATGCTGGGGGCTCCATTAGAAGATCATGGCTGAGCAGGGGCCAGAAAGAGCAATCTCTGTGCTCAGCACATCTGAGACTGCAGCTGAAACACTGTGCCCAGTAATGGACTCTTGAAGACAAGGAGATGTGGGAATGAATCCCATGGAAGCCATTGGGCCATCAGAAGGCTGAGGAGCACAGGAGCCATGAAGCCAGGCAACAGGGGTTTTTCCAGCTGGAGAACAGGAGATGGAGGTGGTTAAGAGATTCTACTAATCCAGCTGTGTAAGAGAAGTGCATAGAGAAGGTGGAGTCAGGCTCATGGCAGTGGTGCAAAGTATGGTGGCAGTTTTGGACCGTTGTTACAGTGCATGGAAGTGTTGCACCATACCACTAATAAAAACAGTGCAAGGCAGCACTGTGTAGCTGTACTTACCTTGGCTCCCTGCACTGTGGAATCATTGGGGGCTTCCTGCTAATCATTTGGTTTCAGGAAGGGTGGATGCAGGGGACCTGGGCTGGAGGTTCACTCATGGGTTTACGGATCTTAACCCTGTTATTCGCTGAAAGAACTACTGTGATACTGACACAGTAGAGCTGACAGTGAGGGAATGTCCAAAGCCTTTAAATCTCCTGTGCAAACTTTTCCCTAAGGGTTGTCTTACGCAACTTCATAAAGTCTTTTTCAGAAAAACTCTGTCAGCACAACCTTTACAAGGGGGTTGGGGCTGGGACAGCACCTTACCCCCTCCCCCACTGGAGGGCTGTATTCAGTATAAGACATGCAGCTGCTGTCCCTTAAGTTCTGCTGGCCCATGCTCACACAGTTGCAGTGAATTGTTTCAGAACGGGCCCTCATCTCCCTGGGTATGTGACAATGTTTTCAGTTCCCATACACATGGTTTGGGTGTCTCAGCAGCAGAACTGTGCCTTCCCTTAAGAGCAAGAGGCACAGCAGCAGTGGGAGACAATGAGAAGGTCTGACCCCTCTGCTATAGCTGCACCAGTGCCACCACTAACTGCTCAGAGTTTCTTACACTTCAGATAATGGTGGAAGTATTACAGATATTCTGGAAAAAGATTCATGATAGGTGAAACTTCTGCTGTGGAAAAACAGGTGACCTGGTATCAAAAAGAACCTGGTCTCTTCCTGCTGACTCCTATATTTGAGGTATCTGAGATTTGAGAGACCCTTTTAAAGCTTAATTTTTCCTGCTGTCTCAGTTCTGCTTGAACTTGTAGTATGTGGTGACTTTTTCAGGTAGTTTTTTCCCTATATTCCTTGTTTACATGGGACACAGAAAACCAGGAATTTTGAACTGTCAGGATTCAGTGATGGGCTTGCACTACATGCCCATGCTGCAGTAGTGTAGAAACACATGGCCTTTATTTTATAGTTCTCTTGCCTTCTTAAAAGACCAGGCTCTATTATGGACTCCAGCAAAGCTGAACACACTGCTACAGGAATACATCCTGCAGGGTCATCACTGCTCCCATGATCCTGGGCAGTCACTACTTTGAGAGACTTTGAAGAAAGTCTTTGAAGAAAGATGTTACAGCAGCTGCTTTCCAGTACCATATGGAAAGGCACGTGGTGGTTAACAGAACTACAGGAGAGACAGACAAGCAGAACATTTGGGGACAGCTTCTGTGCACTTGGAGCCGTCCTGGCTGGCTAAGATGGCAGCAGAATGCTGTGCTGTCTCTTCCCCATATTGGAACAGCTTTCTTAAATTCAGACTGATCAAAACATCTTGTTTTTGCAAATGGGCACAGAAAGCACAGAAGAGCTGTGATGTGGTCAGCTGCATCACCCGCCAACCTTCAGCACCTGTGAAAGAAGCCAGGAACAGCAGGACTGGTGCTGGAGCAGTGAAGTAAGAACCCTGAACCTTCAGAACCATATGCTACCACTGCAGTTCATAGGAACTGCAGCTGCAGCCCTTGCTGGTGGCAGCAAGAAGAAACTGAGCAAATACTTCACAGGTATTTCTCCACAGTGCCTAAATAATTGTTTTTTATTGTAGCTACTTTATCTTCATCCTTTGTCCACCAAAACCTTTTTCAGCAATCAGACAAAACCCATACAATAAAAACAGACAAAACCCAGCTTCAAACAGCTTTTCATACACTTCTTATGCATCTTCAATAGGGATTCTGAATTTATATTGCCAACTAAAAGCGAAAGATGGCTGCGAAATATCCATCCCTAATAAAAACATCATGAAACCCAGATTTCACTCCCGTGTTCTGTAGAACTCCTCCCTCTCTCCCAAGTGCCTCAAGATAAAAAACAATCCCCCAACTCAACAGCCTTTGACAAACTACTTGCTCTATCAACTCTTGGAGCATTACTAGACATTTTTAGGTTAGACTGTACAACAGTATCTAAATAGCATCTTTATCATTTGGACATTTGTTCAAAACACCTTTTATCCCCACCTGGAGCAGCTCCAGCATTTCCCACCAGCAGGTACTGTCCAGAGCTTGTCCCACACACACTGTTCTGTCACACGTCCTGTGCCAGAGTGACTGCAAGAGGCAGCCATGTAGATGAAACCTGGCACTCCAGCATAAGGAAACATGAGTGTCCCCTTTCCTTATGCATCAGGGTTATGCACAGTGACTACAATTTCAGCTACACCAAGTCCCAAGTGTTGGCAGTGACATACCTGATTCTCAGCCAGTGCTTTTCATGCATTTCAGGTGTTCACACTTAGCAAAGTGAGGTATCTAACGTATTTCAGAGAGGTGGAGGTAAAAAGTCTGTTCAAAACCCCTATTTGTTAAGATGTCATCAATACTGTGCAAAAACATAAGCAACTATTCTAAATAAAAACAGAAATGTGTATTTCTATGTCATGCTGCTGTTCTAGTTTTATATCGCTTAATGTGACATTCCAAAAAAATTGTGTCCTCTTGTTACTCATTTGGCATTGCTTAAATATGAAAGATTTAAAACTTCAAGAATCAAAAATTAAAAACTGAGCTTTATATTAAAACTGAGCTTTATATTAAAAACTCACAGTTCTTAAAAGGATACTTCATATAGCTGCACCATTTTGATGGTGAGCAGTCAAAATCATCAAGAATTTATGGACAATAGTTTTGCTAATAATATAGGCACATAGTGGCATGTAAACTACATGTGACAACTAGAACAGCAAAGGCACGATCTGGTTTGGTTTTTTCTGCTTTTCAAGATGTTGGTTAATTTACAAAGAAAAATATTCTATACTCCATGCACAAGTATTACATTTATATTTTACAGCATAGGACCATTACAAAACTGCTGTCATCTGATAAAATGGGCCATTTAAATAAAATAATACTATAATAATAATAAAAGAAAAATATAGCAGCTTTTTGCACTGAGGAACTGAATTTCTGAAGTAAAGGACAATACATGTTCTGTCATCTGTCAGGCTGAGGACATCTGAAATTCTCTCTATCTTCTTGTCTACAAAAAGCACTGACTGAACACTGAAGGTAGCTATAAGTTTTCTGGTTTGCTATTTTCAGCTTGTGTTTGTTTTTCCAGATGTCACCTAAGACCTCTGTTAAGATGTCTGCAAAACTACCAGTTGCTTCTCTAATACCAAAGCAGGTTTAAGCAGAGATTTAACTGGAAACCCGACCGTGACCCTTCTGTGAACTGAGCCTGCTCAGATGTCTTTGTTGACACCTGCAGACTGATCTCTGTTAGTTCAAAGGGAGTCACTCTAAGCATAAACTGATGTCTCATTGAGAGACCAGAACAGGAGCAGTTTTAAACCAGAACACAGCCCTCAGCAACTTAAAAGTTAAACCTAATGCAGTCATTTTAAAGTGTAATTTCTGACCATGGCTCCCATGACAGTTCTGCATTTCACATAGAAATGTTAAGAGTAAATAGAAAACTTTAGTTTACAAATGAAGATCTTTAAAAAAGACATTTCATGTAATTACCTTAAATAGTTCTTATATGAACCATTCCACATTGTGGAAAAGCTGAAATATGCAGTCTGGACTCCACAAGTTAAAGAAAAACAGAGTTATATGTATTGACACAAATACTTACATCTACATCTGTACAAAGTAAAAAAAGCTGACAACCCCGTCCCACCAATGCAGTGTATTCAACTGCTCTCCAACACACACTTCCTGTGACTGCCAACAAGCAGTGAGCTGGGTACCAAGTCTCCAGAGTGTGGTGCCAAAAAGTTCCAAACTGCCTTGTCAGACTCTGAACAGAGGAATCAGAAGTATACCCAAAAAAGTGTCAGTCCACTTGGCATGCTCAGAGGTCACTGCACAGCTGCACTCTGTAAGCTCCTATAAGCAGCTTTACCTGTGAAAGCAAACAAAGGTTTCCATATTAACAGTGACCACAGGTGATTACTGTGTTAAGTGCTCCTAATGTAGGAATGGCACAAGAAAAGGCACACAATTGCTACTGAATAAGAAAGGAAAAAAGAGGTATTACAATGTTCTTAATAAAATCAGTTTATAATAGCCCTACTGAAATATGGATGGCTTGTTAAAGGACACCAGTAGAATACTGTAGCATCAGGTGGTTTTTGAACAAGTTAGCCCCAAATCTGAACCAGACATATATTTCCATATGAATATACCTTTTTCCACTTAAAAAAGAAATTAAAATAAGGTGCAATAAAACATTTAAGAGTATAACTTCAGTGCAACTTTTAAATCTAAATATCTGGAAAATACATTGTTATGTGTTTCCAGGATAAAATAAATGCTACCAGAACAGGATTTATTTTGCAACATGTAGTGGGAAATATTGCCCAAACCACCTGTAAAATGCAACAAACTATTTAAAAGCAGAGTGCATACTCCAGCAAATATTTCCAACACACAAGCAAAAACATCTGTATGCAAAAAAAAAAAAAAGGTGGCCACTCCATGTATCTTTCAGTCATCAAATTCACAATCTAGATGGAGAAGATGTTTAGCTGGAAACTCGAGTTTATCCTAGTGTATGAATTATTCTGACCGCAACATAAAAACATTATAATGATAACAGAACTAACATAACACATGGCAATGTTCCCAAGTTCTGGCAATGTCACAGGATGTAACTGTAACCGATGGAAACTGGGATGTGGAGACAGAGGAAAATCCTTAAGTTTTACATTTGCAACATACAGCTGGAAGCATTCAGACTATGGAAGAACACAACAAATGAACACATGCATTTAATTTTGAGAACATTTTGTACCTTGGCAGTAGGAACTTCTGCCAACCGTATGAAAAGCTTGTTAAGGCCTGCAGTAGGGCTGAAGGAATAAATAAAGTGACTATCCTACAAGGAAAAATAAAATGGACAAAGTTAATGGTAGGTTATGGCTGAAAGAGCTGTGTAAGAGGAGTAACAATACAACATTTTCAATATGCTTTTTCTGAAAGAACATTGTGTATGAAACTTTGATGCAATAACTGGGAAAACAAGAAGACTTCAAAATTGTGCAGAGTGATGTATTTAAAAAAAAACCAACTTGGAATTTATTTTTTGGACTTTGGGGGTTTTTTTTTAGGAAATTTTTTAGGACTTTGGTTCAAAATTTTGGGGGGTTTGTTCATTTGGGGAGGCTTCGGTTCCGGATTCCGGAGGTTTGGGGGTTGGGGAGGCCTTTTCCACTTCCTTGTTCGGGCGGGGCCCCTTGGATTCGGTTTTTCCGGACTATACACCATCATGCTAAAAAGTATGTTTCATCACAATACTGTAAATTCAAATTACAGCACTGAGATTTCCCAGGCAGCTCTATACAGACTATGAAGTAGTCAGTTATATGAAAAGATTTACCAAAAATATGGGAAGTTGGAATTTGTCGTTTAAAACCACAGCTTGTACACTGCACGGTCCACAGAGCCGAGCAACAACATCTTTACCATGGAAATTTGCATGGAATACAAAGAGAAGAATTCCAGATCCTGAAAGGGAAGGCAATTCTGTTACATGAATTTGAAATTAGATCCATCACCTAGAACTGTGTACACTGGACGTTTGAAGACAGGTGTAACTACATATAAATAAAAACCATTATATAATGTATATACATATTAACAACCCAACATGCAAAAATCCCATTTCCCAAGCCAGTGGATCCAGCAAACAACTGGCTTGGTCACCAAGTTAAGGACTTTTCACAGAAAAAATAGTATTATGTGTCTATTAGAAAGGAATGCAAAATGGAAACAGCAATCCTTACTTAGCACAGTTCACTTCTGTGGTTTCAGGGTTACCCAAAGAGAGTTACTGAATTTAGTGTGGTTTGGGTCTAGTCAAGGGAACAGACAACTGAGCCCAGACATTATAGATCTTTATGAACCAAACTGAAATTCAATAAGCAGCAACTTCAACTACCCACAAATGCTTCATTTTAATACACAAACTTGTATTAAGATTCTTAATTCTAAAAGATAGGATATCTATAATAAAAACTAGAAGAATTATCCAACAACTCTGAACAACCAGAAAACTGAGCAAACATACCCACTTTCAATCTCAGTTTAAGTGTATTCTAATAGTCACACTGATTTATCACTTTAAGAAAAATCAGTTTCAATAGATATTTCCCTGATACACTCATCAAAAATGACTTAGCTAAGCCAAGCAGCAGAGAATAGCATTTGAATTCCTGGAGGAATAATGAAATATTCCCAAATACCTTGGGAATTTGATTCCCAACTTTTTCAAAGGGTTTGTGAGCAAAAAAAAGTTGACTGCAGCTGTTTCCTTTTCCTAGTATTTCTAGACTGCATTTGTCTCAGGGCACTGCTGGAACTACATTCCAAGCCTTCAGCACATGACCTACTGTCCATGAAAACAAAAGGATCCACTACAAGATCTTCTCTAGTAAGCCTAGATTTTCCTGAATCATTAATTCTAAGGTAAAAGGTAAACCACTCCTTTCCTACAATGCCTGTCACTGAGCTAATGTAACCCATGACCAGAAAGTTGACACTCTGTACGAGGCAATTAAAAGGTCTTAAAAAATATTACACACAAACCCTACCCATAATAGATTAAAATATAATTGCTCTCCCTATGTTCCACAATCAGAGTGTTCTTAATTGCAAAATCTTACATAAATAATTTTGCATAGGGGATAATTTAAGACATGCTTTAAACATATTCTACCTTTTTTAAACAATGCCCCCACCACAACAAACTCCTCCTTACCTTCTGGCACATTTTGTGGAGGTTTATAGTTAAAATCCAAAGAAAAG